TTTATTTAATTAAGATTTATCTATAATATTATATATATCTATTTATTTAATAATACATCATGATGTAAACTTATAATTTTATATAATATTATAATAATATCATTCTTGATAAAATTTTATAGAAACATGAAAATCTTGCATTAAATAGGCATTTGATCGTTTGTCATCTTGTTTTAGATTCTTTTTTTATCTTGTCGGACATTGGGGAATTTAGAGTCAGGGAGAAATTTATAACGAAAGCGTTGTTTTTGCAACTTGAACCATGACGAAGACCAGGCTTACGAATGCGCTATATATCCAACGCAAAAGGATGCGAGTGCCAAAGTTATTTTAGTTAATTAGAAACTGACGAGACTAAGAGGAACAAAAATATCTAGAGGAAGGGACAACATAACTTAAACTCAGAACTTACAATTCACTAAACTTTTAGGGGCTATTTAGTATAATAATTTGAAAGTAATTATTAGTGATTTTATTTAATTTAATAATTATTAATTATTATTACTATTAATAAATCAAACATTTTTATTCATTGAATTAAATGAAATTGCTAATAACTATTTTCAAACCATTATACCAAACGTCCATTTAAACTTGGGAAGTCTTGCGGCATTTTTTTTTTTTCTCTTTTTCTTTTTTGATATTTGGAGTGAGGAAATTTGAATTTATAACGTCTTGACCTTATTATTATTATAAAAAATTATTGATGCACATTTGGTTCAACACACTTGGTTTAAGATACTTTTTGACACTCATCAAATTCAGCCATTAAAAATATAATATAAATGCAATTAATTTAACTAGTTCTTATATTCTAAATGCATGTTTGTGCTTTTAGGTTTGTTTGTGTTTAACTTTAAACTAAAAAATAATGATTTTTTAAAAAATGTGTTATACAATGTATTGAATCAAAATGTATATCAATTAGTGTCCTATTATTATGATTTTGAGATGTTAAATATATGCACCTTTTGCCCTTACTGTATAAAAACCAAAACCAAGCTTTAGCCTACAAAAACTAAAAGATGTATCTACATTTCTTTCTACATGAATAATCTTTATCCATCCTAGCGTCTCTCTTCTCCCCTCTCTTATAGTTGTTGGCTTGTTGCACTCTGTTGACACTAAGGATTGTGTTTGTCCCATCATAAGGTATTTTCCACTTTAACTCGTAGGTCTCATGCTATTGTCCTCAAAAGGACCCTTCTAAGGGAAGGAATTGACCCTCGATTATAAGCCATAACTCTCCTTGATATACCTGGATGTAGAATTCTAACCTTAATTTCCACCATTGTGGCACACTCTCTTTTTCTTCTCTTCTCCCTAATTGCCACAGCCTTTCTCTGCATGGTAGTTAGGGAGAATGAACAAAAAGTGAGAGCTTTTCCTTCTCTTCTCCCTAATTGCCACAGCCTTTCTCTGCATGGTTGTTAGGGAGAATGAACAAAAAGTGAAAGCTTTTCCCCCTTTGTGAAATTATTGTCTTTTTTTTTTTATCTTTTGGGAGTCTTTACCTAAACCTTCTTGATATTTTATTGAATTTTATCATAGTAAATGAGGAAACAATACAATGATGGCTGATTTTTCTATTTTGAAAGCGAAACTAGCATATTAGGAGAAACTTTCAAGTGTTCAAAAAGGCCAAAGTGATTGTCTATCTACTCTATAGCACTAGTTTGTGCCCTTACAACAACTATTTTTGTAATCTTTTAATTTTAGATGGTTTCTTATTCTTCAGTATTTAGATCTATTTATGAGTATTTATTGCCTATTAATATATGCTATGTTATAGGTATAGATTCATAACTCTTTGTGGGTCTATCTAAAGATTATTAATATATAATTTCTAGTTTTGTTGCCTATATAGCGTCTGTTATAAGTTTATTTGATGTACTATACTCCTTTATTAATAAAATTATGATTATCTTATAAAAAGAATAATCTTTATCCATTTATTTTTAAAAAAATGTTGGTTTGGAACCAATTAGTTAAATTTTGGCAATGAAACTAAACACCCCCCTAAATAAGTCAAAGTTAAAAGATAACTATTGCTTATATAATATAGTATAGTACAAACTTTAACCGAATCAAAAGTCTTAATTAACTGTCCTTTGTCATCACTTTAACCTTAATTGTGTGTAGATTAAAGCCACAACTAGGACAGGTTAGGTCAAGTTGGACGACAACCCAAAGCTCCTCTCTCTAGAGTTTGGTTAATTTATACCCAACTTTGGAAACTCCAACGCCCTTCTTTTGACGGTGTTGGAATTTGGAATCAGTTCAGATCCAACTATGCTGGCCCATGTAACATTTCTTGTCGCCCAATCAGTGGAGGTAAAATGCTAATTTGAGCAATGTTAGGGATAAATAATAGACGTGGAGTCAATTTTTTTTTTTTTTTAGAAAGAAATTACACCCAAGTGATTTTTTAGTGTCAGGTGTCTCTAGTATTTCTCAAATTAATTATTTGAGATGTAGAGTGCAGGATCGAGAGTGTCTATTGCATTTCTCAAGTTATTATTTAATGTTTGAAATTTAAACAGCTCCTTGGAGCAGCCTTTTTTGGCATATTGATATGTAAATTTGATTATAAATCTCCACTGTGATTACTAGTTTGCTCTCACTTAACCTGGAGCAACCTCACTTATCCTAAGGGCCTATTTGGTGGCCCTTAGGTTAGAGCAGGATTGTTTCTTCGAGCAAATTGTGTTTCCGGGCAGAATGTTTTGTAAGGTAGATTATGTTGTTGGGCGGATTGTTTGTGTGAGATTTTGCGTTTGGTTGCTCTTAAGAAAATTTCCTTT